GTTAACTAATACGCCTTCTCCACTGCGCGTCCTTTCGTTTCGTTTTGCTCTCTCTACTTCGCTTCATTAGCTGTGATACTCTGATTGTCTGTTCAAATTAATGTGTACAAAATTCACGCATTCAAAAATCCATTCTCGGATTTGACTTATTTGATTCCGTTATTCACTAACGCGATTTAATTCGATGATTATATACGAGAATCGGTGATATGTACATTTCAATAGCAGTCACAAACGATCAAACTGGAGTCAAATATCAGGCCACTAAAAAACTACTATCTTTGCTGATACTATTGCCTTTTTAAGATTTAGTTGTTCTTTCAGACCATTTCTGTTAGAAATTTTACACAGCATTTCTTCTTAATTATCGTATTTTATAACAAGCCATCTCTTTAACATTTATTAGACTACTTTTTATTCTAAGAAACATAAAAATAAAAAAGCAAATATCCACTTTAACATGAATATTATCAGAATGGGGGTTCATCGATATTGTAATATTTGATGGTTGAACCCATGAGTTGATCTAAGCTAGACCACCATGGAAAATCTGGAAGCACTGAATGACCGTTTCGTCCCAGTGCAGGACTCTTCAGCAGTGCGCATCCACGACACCGCACATGGGACTCGAACCCAGGACCTTCGATCTCGCGCGCGAACGCCTAACCTATAAACCACTGAGCCGGCACCCAACAGTGTTGATGTCTAACTTCAACCAACCCACGATATTGCGCTACCGTCCGCCATTGTCTTCAGTGAGTAACTGCCTCTACAACAGACACGGTTGAGCTCCACTGGCCACGGCTTCTCACTAGAACATCAGGAAATACCTCTTGAAGCCAGTCACTAGTGAGCACATGATTATTATTATCAGAGTGGGGGTTCGTGGATATTGTAGCAGAGTTATGCATTTTGTCCAAAAGTACAAATAAACCTTTTAGTTGTGTACATGAATAGTTAATCTGTGCATAATATCTAATGTGTAAGAGATAGCGTTATCAGATATTCAAATTGAAGTATATCAACTGTTAGTCAATTATCCAAAATAACCAGTCATCTCTTAATAAACTCAACAGTATGAAGGTAAGTCAACTAATAATATTGTAAATATTCCAAACCGTGTAATACATCTGGTTCTGTTATTTATGAGTATGCAGATTAATAATAATAATAATAATTTATATTCTGAAAATAATAATTACAGTATTCACGCCAGTTTACAGGCATGATCAATTTGATATAAATAGTAACGTTAGACGCGCAGAACAAACATATGATAAAAGAAAGTTTTAAGTATACTAGTTCAGTAGTTGTTTAAGTAGTAGATATATTACAGCGATCCAATGCATCAGCCGGGAATTTTTAATGTTTCTTAAATGGACAGCCTGTTGATTTATTAACGGAGTAATTAAGGTCAATTCGTGTGCCAGATCGAATTAATGATAATTATTTACTAGAGAAATTAAAACGAAAACACAGAGCACGGAAAAACAAAGCAGTAATTACCAAAATATATGAATCAGGTCTACCTAAATGCGTGTGTCATGTGACACAGTGATATGCTGTTTATGTTATTCAAATTAGTTAAGCTTGCTAGGGACGGTGTTAACATGTTGACAGCAAGTGGGTGGTTTTACTTAGGGGATTCACTAATAAAGATGGCTAAACACTTAAAGTTCCTAAAATATCACTTGTGGAATGAGATACACTTGCAGGTGCTAGACCATTCAATGCATTGTCAGAAGAGCAGTATGCATCGATGCAGCGAACAAATAATGGGAGTGATTTTATCGTGCGAATAGATTGTGGTAGGTTATTCCATAGTCTGTAAAATTTGCAGGTGAAGTAATTCATATAAAGAGATGATTTAGAATGAGTTTGTTCCACTAGTGATAAGGAATTACGGATGTCATAATGAGGAGTTTCTGCATATTGAATCGCGTGATTGGATGTAAGCGATAGTTTATGAAGTAGTTTGAAGAAAAAGATAAGATTTAGTTTGAGTCTCCTCTTCCATAAAGGGTCTAGCCCAAGTTTATTACATCTAGAATTATAAGTTAAGGTACAATCAGCTCCAAGAATACGAAGTGTAAATCGTCTCTGTACTGATTCCAGCCTTAATTTATCCTTTATGAGCGCACTGCTAAAAATAAGCGTGCAATATTCTAGAAGAGGTCGAGCTCAAACTTTGTACATTAGAATACGTGACTCATTGTTGTAAAGATTTCGAGTTATGTAACCTACTAGACGTTGAGACTTAGAAATCTGTTTTAATATATGTTCTGTAAACGACAAGTCTTGGGAATATCTAAGTCCTAAGTCTACTACTGTATGTAACCTAGATAACACTTCTCCATTTATGGTAATGTCTAAGTTGAGTGATGTATCGCCGAAGCATATCCATCCACATTTAGCCGTATCAAGCTCCAGTTGCCATTTTAAGCACCACTGTGCTACCTTGTTAAGCTCCATGCTAATGCAATTTTGCATATTTTTCAGCTCATGTGGAGAAAATGAATACACTACTTTAAGATCATCTGCGTATACAAAACAATATAAACTTCTAAGGAACAGAAGGGGTTTGTGGAGATTTTAGGAATTACACAGATTGAAATCATGAGTCAATTGAAGCTAGACCACCATGGGAAACCTGGAAGCATTGGACGGTCGTTTAGTTCTAGTATGGGACTCCTCAGCAGTGCACATTCACGACACCGCACCCCACGAGGTTCGAACCCAGGACCTACTGGTTTCGCGAGCGAGCACTTAACCATTAGACTACTGGTGTTAGTGTCTAACTTCAACCAATTCACGAAGTTGCGCCACCGTATACCATTGTCTTCAGTGAGCTGATATCTCACAACAGACCTGGTTGAACTCCACTAGTAACGGCTTCCCACTAGAACTCCAGGAGTATCTCTTGAAGTCAGTCACTAGTAAGCAGGGTCGTGGATGCGCACTGCTGAGGAGTCCCATACTAGGACGAAACGGTCGTCCAGTGCCTCCAGGTTTTCCATGGTGGTCTAGTTTCAACTGACTCATGACTTCAATCTGTGTAATTTCTAAAGAACAGTAGGATAAATGGTAATTACTGCCAAAAAAATTTGTGAACCAAATTAAATTGAATATTTGTTATATTTTATTACAGATAAGTGACAATAATTGGATAAACTCTGTAGTGCAGAATTTTCAATAACAAAACAGAAGATAAAATAAAACAGTAATGATAATGGTAACAACAAATAGAGATAACAAAGACTTGAATAAGGTGAGGTAGAATTTTGTGTTTGTGCAAAATAAAAATAAATGCACAAATCAATATATAAATACCCACACAAACATACTGCTCTGAACATAATGAACCAAATCCAACAAACTATTCAATACAATATTTTGTTAAAAAGATACAACATAAAAGCTTTCATTGCTGTATAGTTATGTTCAGATATTTGATTCTTACTCTCTCCATCATTTTATCAAATTACACTTAAAAAAAATACAAGCTTTACAATCATAAAAATATCTTGCAACAGTGGATTCAGCTAAATATGACAATATGTTCATGATCTAGAGAAACAACAAAGGGATATATATCAGAATATTTCGAGTATTTTCACTTTGGTATTCAATTTAGAAGAAAATAGAGAGAAATAAAGAATAATTGAACAGTGGACATTGCACACATTAACATAGCCTTTCTGTAGACATTATAAGAAACGAAGCCGAAAGTGTGTGTGTATGGCGAAGACTGATTATTACCAAATAATAGTAACTAGTGGATAGAAAAAGTATATTGTTAACTTCAAGTGACCAGTGAAAGAACAACTCTAGATAAGCACATCATCCATTGCATGTGTGTGAGTGTGTGTATACATGGCTTCCGAAAGTAATTACAATACAAAGAATAAAGAATTAAAACAAAATAAAGATATTTTATAATGTAGAAGTAAAAAACGAACTATTCAAGAAAGTACAGAAAGAAGATAAACTTGAATTAGCATATTAAAAAATAAGTAGAATTTTCGAAAATGACCAACAACAACAACAACAAAAAATGTTTGACAAATGTGTAAAACAATTACACATCTAGATATAAACATACAGATAAAACTGAAATAAGAATAATTTGTAAAATTGCTAAAAAATAATCAAATAGATTGTAAGATAAAAGAAAAACTATATTTAATTTTGTGGATGAAATTTATTCCTTTGGTAATAATAATGGATCAATCAATGAGATTATTTATATCATATGTGCGTATAGATGTATGAGAACTAAACATTTAAAATAAAGATAAACCACTTTTATAGGATATTGAAGAATTTTTAATGTTTCATTTACTTTTATACATAAAAATATACATTCATAGAGATAAATGGATGAGTGACTGTAAGTAAACAAACTTGAATATATATATATATATATATATATATATCACACTAAAGGGAATGCAAACAAAGAACCAAAATAATTTCACACTTATCAAAGTTAAAATGTATTCGCTAGTAGAAAATCAAATTGTACTACTCATTACATGCTAGAACACATATAAACACATTTGTTCATCAACTTCATAATCATCATTACAAATTTGAAGCAAAATCTAACAAGTATGTTTTAAGAAGAAGATAAATTTTTCATTAAACAGTTCCTAATTAAGATTAATTAAAGAAAAAAAAAAAATTTTTTTTTACTGACAGAATGAATTCAATTTTTAATAGCTTTATATTTCAAAAAATACAAAATAAAATAAAATCCCTAAAACAATATTTGATATTAATAGTTTAAAATTGAATGTTCACAATTGGCACTTTCAAATACAGAACAATCTATAAACTGAAGATAGATGAATAAGGAGAAAAACGACGACGACGGCAACAACAACAACAACAACAACAGCGACAACAATGAAACGACTTGACAAAACAGACAACAATTGAATCATTATTTTCGTTTTTTAAAGAGAAATGCTGCATATATATATAACAGTAATTTCTATTCAGTAGACAAATAAAATAAATAAGATTAGAGAGGATAATAGATAAAGGAAATTTACATTAATAGAATAAACAGAATTATTCAATGTGTTTTTATTATTAATATTAATATAATTGTTATTATTCTCAATTTTATGATTGCTACGTTGTATTGACTCATCATGATTAACTAATAATTGTCCATGATTTTGAGATAAACTAACTTCGTGTTCGGAATAACCATTTCGATCGAGTGTATTAGATGTTTCAATATGTGTGAAATCATTCGACTGTACAACTAATGATGGTAGATCAAATTCAATTGGAGGATTTGATTCGTCTAAACCATGATTTGATGAAGAATGACCGGTAGAAGAGAAGGGAATAGAAGATTGTGGAAAATAATTAGGGTAGAATTCATGAGATGATGAAGAAGAAGAGGATAAAGAATGTGAAGCGGCAGAAGAGGATGAGGAGGAGGAAGAAGAAGATAGTGGTGCTGAAGGCGGTGGTAATGACAGGACAGAGATCGTCGGTATAGGTGGAGGTGGAGGAGGAGGTGGAGGTGGGGCTTGAACAGGTGACAAACTCTGGTACTCACTATTCCAAGTAGGCCAATATCGATAAGAGTTTTGATTGTTTAAATAGTAAAATGGTGGATAAGGATAAGAGTTTTGATTTTCCGATGAACCAATAGAGCTATGATCACCATTTTCTTGATTAATAGGATTTAAAACAGAATCTAAGGAATAGTGCTTTGATGTTTCAATGGATTTTTGTTGAGGCTGTTGTGAAGTTTTAGATGAATGAAATTTGTCTTTCTGTGGATCAATCCATGTTTTTTGAGATTTTGCAGAAGGATTAGACTCTTGGTTCCTGGGAAGTTGTCTGACACCTCGTCTATGCGAAGAACTTGGTACAGATGGTGGTGGAGTATTTGTTCCATATAAAATTAAGCTCCAATCATGAATCAAAACTGAGCAAAAAGAAATAAAATATAACAAAGAACTTTCAGATAATTATAAAAACCTTTGTCTAACTTTGAACAAATAGTTTCACAGTAGTTGGGCATCGAATTAATGTAAAACATGAAGGAGAAAAATAATATTTGTAAAGACCTCAGCAATCGAATTTTAATTACCTTCAACGTTTCACTTGATAATCTGGTCTCATCTTTTTCAAGGGAGTATCATCATGGAAAAGCTTCGACAAGATTGCCAGGTGAAACGTTGTTATGATTCAAATAATTAGGTAGTAATTAAATTATATAGAATTGTATTAGTTGATATACATTTGTGATAATTGAAAGAATAATTGATTTTTAAACAACAAACTAGGTAACAGTCGAAATAAAATTATTGATATTTACATTATCGGCTAAGTGTTGTCCGATGGTTGGCTAAACGATAAAAATACAATGGCAACTCAATTTTGATTTCGTATCAGTTAAATACTTATATACTGATGACATCTAATATCCTATCTGATAAAACTACATTGGGTTATGATGAAAATGTTTGCAATGATTTTTAAAGGAGTCAGAATTTTGAGGAATCATTTTCAAAAAACGGATTCCAGAATAATCTGTTTTCAGAATATTTTCCAAGCTGATAAAAATCGCCATATCAATCCAAACTATAAATATATAATTAAGAGAAAATTGTACTTTCAAGCGATATTTAGGTAATTTTATAGTTTCGAATTACAATAGAGACGCTTAGATTACAAAGTGGGACAGGATAATTTAGAAATGTCATATAGCATTATGGTTTATTGTGTATGCCAATATTAGACGCTTCAAAGTAATAGACAAGACATATTCTACATTTATGTTTCGTGTTGCTTAGGATTCATTCTAAAATCAGAGAAAACCATTGTTTATCGAGGTTTCTGTTTTATAGTGTTCATGCCCATAATGAGACAAGCTAGATATGCGTTGACAGGGATGAGACAATTCCTTAAAAGGTGTGGTTTTGCAACCGATCCAGTACATTTAATTCTGACGTTGTATACGCTTTACAATAAGGTTAGTTGTTATGTGCATAACTCAGCATTAATGTTTACGACAGAGATAGTGAACTGCGCAGTAGTTAAAAATTTCGTGTAAATTTTGGCATATCATACTGATACATTTACATAGGCTTTAGCCAAGTTGGTTAGCCAAACTAAATGCATTCTAAAATATGAAGATAACGCTCTTTTTTTTTGAAAAAAAAATAACATAAAGCTTACCGACAGCATTTCCCGATTTAACTGTTAATTTCCAAGTACCATTGGCTAATTCACCCCAATAGTGTACAGACATAAATGGCCATGCATGAAATCCAGCGACATCAATATCTTTTGGCCTTTTGCTTAAAAGTTGTGAAATAGTTCCAGCTGGAGACGTTAACCACAATTCAATTTCACCTCGTTGTACACTACTTAGAGTTACCTGTGAAATGTAAAATTATAAACGCTTCAACATTAAATATGGCAATGTATATCTATACATACTTTACTATTTAACTTTTCGGATATTTTATGATTAAATAGTAATACGATATAAAATGATGTAATCAGTTATTGAAATAAATAAGCAAAAAGTGACAAACAAATATCTTCATAAAATTACTTCTTATTGGTTAAATCAAGTGAACCCATTTAATTCCTTTCACTTTATATCATCAACTACTGTATTAATTTTATGAACAATGTATAATTTTATAAGAACAAGTAGTGAATAATTCATATAAATCCTTAGAAAAATCCTCTCATAATTACTTTTTACTACGATGAACGAACTTGTTGAGATGACTTTACAATAGTTTAAGTAAGAAACATCAAATTATATTGGATATACAGATAAGTAAGTAAATTGTCAATTCATAACATAACAGATAGCTTTTTGTAGGTTATAAAAAATAGATTATTTCAGTAAGTCACTTCTTCCAACCACAGTTGTCATTGAGATTTTTTCACATTAAAAATGTATAAGACATCAATTCTTTCCAAGAGACGGAAATAAGTACTACATGTAATGTTTTAATGTTGAGTAATAATGACAAGCGAAAAAATTGATTACCAGAATAAAGAAACATATGTAACATAATGTTACAGAATAGTATATATATATATATATATATATATATATATGGAACATATTACGGACAAAATGTAAGGTAACGGTAACTTATCTATTTGGTTTCATCCAAATATTTTTGGCAAATTTGACTTCAGTCTAAAATATAACATAACCAATTTATTCTTGACATTTTTTACTATAGACCATGCATCACTTTGACAGAAATAGTACAGACATCAACAATATATAGGTTATATTATTATTATTAATAATAATAATAATAATAATAATAATAATAATAATAATAATAATAATAATAATATGAAAATGCAAGTTTTTTCATTTTTATCACGCTTAAGAGATTATAACACATGATTCTTGAACTCTTCACATAAGAATATAATTTTTACATTCTTATCAACATTCTTTCTTTCTTTTGACCTATGACTGATTTTTGAAAATGTAGTTTTTATTCATTTAAAGACTGTTGTTTAACCATTTTATTTATTTGTATTAAGGACTGATTATGATGTTAAATAGAAAGAATACAGAACAGTAGTAAAATGATCAGATACAACCAAGAAGAATACATCGTTTTATGTATGATAATCCAATTAATCAAGGAAATTATAAAAAAACCTTCTATAATTACTATTTTTACTGTTGCTAAATAATATACTTAAAGATTATCAATAAACATTGAATTCATTATTTCAATTTTGGTGGTGGTGGTGAAGATTTATTCCCTAATCTGAATACTTTGATTTTGAACTATTCATTATTGATCTGGACAATATCATCAGTGCTATGTGAAGTCATTAGTGTTTCCACTGAATTCCATCAATCAGTTTACGACAAAACTATTATTATAAGTTTATATGTATTCGTTGTTTGAATCTTCCCCCTGATGTTTATGACTAAAATTGGTCAATGTCTTTTGGTATTTATGCTTCCTGCGCAGATTGCCTCGATATTGCCACTAAGTCACAAGCATTTTTAAGCAGAGATAGATGGTGGCTAGCAGTGAAATCCGGTCCAAGTGAACCGATACCATTATGAAACTTGTTTAGTGTTATGTGATTGGAAGTTAAAAGGATCGGAAATTACTGGAAAGAAATTTGATAAAAGATGGCTGTTGTCACACCTAGGGTTATTACTAAATTTGATGGGTTCGATATAGCATTGTGGGAGACACGTTCGCACCATACTGTATAATAGATATGTTATATATATATATATATATATATATAAGATATGTTCCCATTTATCAAATCAGGTTGAAAAACCCGAATTTGTTTGTTTTAGTAACCGTTTGAGCACATGTTCAGCCAATCCGATTTGTAAACCACGATTACTTATCTCTATAGATGCATTCAAACAAATGTAAATTGATAAACGATGAGATGTGACACAACTATTTATATGCTATTTCGGATTTCAAAGTTTTGATTTGATTTGTATGAGCAATCATGGAACTCTTCTTCATTCCCCATCCTATTAAGCTTAGTGGGAACCAGTTATAATATTTCGTTCGGGAATGGACTACGCATAGACCTCAAACGATAATTTTGTTTACTGATTTATATTACTTATAAGTAGAGTGTACATACAGATGAATAAATAGCAAGATCATGGCTTTCGAAAGTATTCTACATTAGAGTGGTAAAAAGTGAATATTCTGATTTATAAGATTTCACATGAACTTAACACAAAAGAAGAGGCCATTACATCACAATATTTCCCGTCTAGTGAAAGGAAAATTTATGCCAGACAAGATGATAAAAATGAAAAAAATAGAGAAATAAAAATAGGATAAAACAAAATATCAGAATGACAGACGTAGAATCTTTCGTTTACTAACGACTAGTCTAACAGCGGAAATCCTAGATAGATAACTATATATATATATATATATATATATATATATATATATATATATATATATATTAGAAAGTCAGAAAAAAAATAAACCCGAGTAAAAGGAATTGCGAATAATAAATTATCATTTGACGTGGACAGAAATGGAAAACAGAAATTTTAAACAAGATAGTGAGGTTTTATTATTGCGTCCTCTCCTTTTCTCACATGAAACAGAGTGAATACAGATATGAAACGAATGAAGTAATCAGTGAACATGAATAAACAAAATGCATTCAGTTTTTTTGGTTGGCATTTGATGGCAGAATTCAGGATGGATACCACTTACTACTAAAACACAATGATAAGATGCAGTGCAATAAGGTAGTGGTTATAATTAGCAAAAATAAATTGAAATATTGTTTATAAAAAATCTCACTTTAAGAAGAAATAAATACAATTAGTACGTGGTTATGAGAATTGGCGACGGTAAGAAAAAAGGTTTGTTAAAACACAACACAATACAACGAATAATATTACAATGGTGAACATAAAAATGATGGATGAAACAAGAAATAAAGAGTGAAAATATTCATATCAACTTATGAATGGCTCCATTTACCTTAAAAATGTAAATAGTCATTTTGAAACGTATTGTAAATACACTTTTAAAAAATTAATTTCTTAAATATCGGTAAGTATTAATTAACTACTTTCCATTATGATTCTACATTTGATGGAAATACAAAAAAAAAACTAATGAACTTGTCCAATGATTGAATAAATGGTTAATTTTGAAAAAAAAAGATTATTAGTAATACAACTATTTTAATGTCAACCATATGAACATAACAAACAATCATGTTTTCTATTTGCGAATACGTCTTTTAAAAAAAAAGGATTAAAGCATACTCTCTCTCTCTACTATTCTATAATCGTAGCCAAATTTATAGAAATGTAATTGATAAATAAGTTGTTATGATGTACAAACAAAGAAAATACAAGACAATGAAAGGTTCCAAAACAATGACTAAGTCAATTAACACCTGGTTATGATCATTAATGTTAACTAATTAGTTTAGATAGAAACAATTAATGTTAAATGTAACTTCCATGATAGATTCAAATTAACTGTGATTCTAAATAGATGCTTATCAATAATAGAAAATAATGAAAACTATAAGATTCCTAAAATTTGTTGAAATATAAATCTCTCATGAAAAATCTGCTGAATGACAAGAAAATAGGATGGAATAAATTTTAAATGTTGTGTGATTTTCAATAATTCTCTAAATGATTTCAGTTTACAATGGAAAACTATTTTAAAATTATGCTGAACAAAGTGAAAAAGTCTTTTTTTTTTTACAATATAGAATTCCCGGCATAGTATTCCCTTTTCTTATTCCTTGATCGATCCTGACAATAAATACTGAAAGATCGTCAGTTAGATGTTAAGAGTCCAGCAATCGACAATTGAATAATGTTCATTCTTTTCAATGCATATATTAACAGCCACCATGATGTTTCTAATTGTAATTTTTTGTTACTTGTAGGGTAGTGAACTTTTCATAAGCACTCCTAAATAAATTATGCGATGAATAGACATAATGATATGTTAAAACAAACAAAAACAGATAACTTTTTGAAATATCTAGATGGTAGGAACAGGTAAACCAGATATTCAAGCAAGCCGCCATAACATTATGACATAGATATTGGATGTTTAATAATATACATTAAATATAAAATTGACAGTTGTTTCAAATGTACTATTTCTTTCATGGTGATAAAAGTGCAAATATGGTTAAGTAATTACACCTGTAAAAACAATTTATAACACAATATAATTTTAAAAATAGTTATACCCTATATATATGGTATATATCTTCGAATATGTGGTTTTTATTAAACTCTTGTTACAGTATATCACTATCATTTCCCTTTTATTCATAATTTATTTAGATAATCAACTAAGCACAGATGTGCAGTACAATTTTCAATCTGTTATACACAGAATAAAAACAAAATAGAAATTAAATCAAGCAACAAAGAAAAATGTGAACTCATTAAAGGAAATGGGGAATTAAAGAGAAAAACGAAATATTTAAATTGTTTAGGTCATTTTTTAAAACAAAATGTAAATATGTATTTTATTTAATGAATGCATGGTTAACAAACCATAATTTCACACACTTAACTATTTTATTCTAGAATACACATGATAAGAAATCGTATATTGACTTGGTGTTCGTGAAAAAGAAGCCATATCTCTGAAGTATATCAGTTTTAATTGTAGTTTGCAATGATAGGTGATGTAAGTAGAATAAACAGAATACTATTGAATGTAGTTTAGAGATATCTAATTATCTGAAACTATTGTAAAACAGTCCGATTTAAAAACAAAAGACAGGAATGTAAGCGAAGTAGGAAAATACTGATCAAAATAAGTGGATTAATAGATCATAAAATTTGCGGTAATAGAATCTAGTGTATCATGAAATAACTGTACAATG